ATATTTTTACCTAGCAACATCAGCGACAACGACGACAGCTACTACAGCCACGACTACAACTGCGACTACTACTACTTCTGTCACAACAACAACTACTCAGACTACAATCACTTGTATCTGGTTTCTTTTTCTCTCATCATATCACTACAATTGAATACTTGTCTAATTCTAGTCAGTGCGGTTGGTATTTATGCATTGAATATTCCAACATGTGCTACATGGAATGAGAATGGAACTACTGCTAGTGGCAATCAAAATGGATCTATAGGCTATGATTTGGGTTCGCTCAATTATCCAGTTAGTATTTTTATTGACAATGATGATATTCTATATGTTTGTGATCGGGATAACTCTCGAATTCTGAAATTATATCCTAATTCAAGCACTGCAGTCATTGTCGCGGGTAATGGAACGGTCGGCAATGAATCGAATCAACTGAGAGGACCCAAAGGTGTTGCTGTCGATCAATATGGTGCTATCATTGTAGCTGACAGTGACAACTATCGCATTCAGAAATTTCCGCAGAATTCTACAATAGGAATTACATTAGCTTCTAACACTTCATATAATCCTCTTGGTCAAATGCGTGATTTACACATTGATGTCAATAATAATATCTATGTAACAGATTCTGATAATAATCAAGTCGTTAAATATATTCCTTATTCATCCATTGGTATAGTTTTAGCAGGTGGAGGGCCATCGGGTTCAGGACTCAATCAACTGTTTAGTCCATTTGGCAATTTTATGGATGCAAATAATTCATTATATGTAGCCGACAGTGGAAATCATCGTGTTCTAAAATATCTTCCTGGGTCATTAAATGGAACTATTGTTGCTGGCAATGGTACTGCTGGTTCTAGCTTATATCAGTTGAATTTTCCCAGATCGATCATTGTTGATAATAACGGGTATGAAATCTAGTTTCAAATAGGAACAATAGTGTTTTTGAAAGTATTCCTAGATATATTAGAAGCACTTAAGTGATATAACTTTAGGGAAGATGAGTGTTCGAATTCTTATTTTGCTGACGAATAGGATCGATTAATTCCATATGCGTTCATATAGAAATAAGTGAGCAATTCCTGTATCCATATATCATCGTAGTTGTTTGTATTTAAGACAGTGGGAGGAAAAACTAGTGCAATTAAAACTTGCTCTCGGGTTTCATTGCAAATGTCACATAAAAAATATGAACATCGTAGACCACCGTACAGGGCCATGAGAACTAGTCCATCTGTTTTGGTATAGTCGCTTACCATTATACTAATCTAAACTGATTTCTTGAAAGATTTGAGGTAAAATGTGTCTCTCAAAGTTAGCTATTGCGTAAAACTGTGTTCCAAAAACGTAGAAGTGTTAGATTTTGTTTTATTAAAGAAATAATTTCAACGAAACTTATTCTAATGATTCAGATATTCTTCCGACTGACAGCATGAAATTGCCTGATTCATCACGGCATTCATCTATATGTGACTACAATCTTTCTTGTTAATTCACAAAAATTGTTAGAAAGTAAAAGCTCAGAAGAAAATAAGTTCGTGAAACAATCAGAAAAAAAAACAAAGATTGATCTTAAGTTTCTTGGCAGTTTAGTAACAATACGTATTAGCTCAGAACGAAGAACTCAGAATAGGGCTCTGTAATTTACTCTGTATAATGCAATGCTTTTCAAGGGACATTCCAAGATGCTTAATAGAGTTTTGTTTTAATTCATTTTATTCACTGATTGTTGAATGTTTGATTTCAAATAAGTCTATACAAAGAAAATACAATGTCATTATATAGTTTTGTTTTACTATTAATTATTTTATTTAAAACAACTTCATATAAAAAATATTTTAATTATAACTATTTTGATAATTTATCAATACATGGTCCGATAGAGTTACTCTTTATAGAGATGGGTTACGACCTTGTTCAGTAAAATGAAATCGACAAAACCAAAGTGCATAAATCCAAGATGACACCAATCACGTACGGTCGTGACCTTTCTAAAAACCAAGCGGAGAAAATAAGATAGAAGCTAATCTAAAAGTAAAAGAATAGGGTTTAAAATGAATCAAAAGGACAAAACCTTGAGCATTCAATATGTCATTAATCAATGGATGATTAATTTAGCAGAATTTCAATCTAATCGGTCACGATGACTATTGTTTCTTATAAAAATATTGAAATTCCACTGCAATATCGTGATAGAAGATGTTTCATCAAAAAAGTTTTTTTGAATATATTTTAGATTCATTTTAATAACGAGCCATGAGAAGAATTGAGAGACTATACATTGATACATATTATTGGAGCAAATAAGACTTCAATGGGCGTATTCGATCTGGAAGTTGATAAATCAAATAATATTAGTAAAATTTTTTCTTGCTCATTAAAACACCACCTATGAAATAGCTTTTAAACCACATAGTTTCTACAACGAGAATCTAAAATTTAACATTCTAAGTTTCACTATTTAAATACTAGGTACATCTATGTGGCTGACGGTTCAAATAACAGAGTCGTAAAATGGACAACAAATTATGCAGCTGGTGGTGTCTGTATTATGGGTTGTACAGGTACAACAGGAACAGCTGCTAATCAAATGCGTGGTCCAAGAGATTTAAAATTTGATAGACATGGAAATATATTTGTTACTGATCAATCAAATCAACGAATTCAGAAATATACGATACAATTACCAACATCCCCTTGTCCTTCTAGTAAGTAAATCAATTTCAGAACAGATAATCTTTGCATAGAATACGGTCCTCATTTTTTATATGGAAAGAATTTTGCTAAAAAATTAGATCTCTTTTTTCAGATGATTGACTTTGAAGATTATCATTCACTGATTTTTCTTTGCTTTTTTAGCTGGTTAAGCAAAACTTACAAGAAGTTTTACTACAATTCTGGCGAAAAAGACATTACAAATTTTCATGTCGTTTTGATAAAAAGATTTGTAAAAAAAAAAACAAAGTTTACTTTTGTACTTCATAAATATAAAAATACAATGTATCAACAACGTAAACGTTGAAAAACTATGAAATTTTCATCAATAAGACGATTCATTACATAATGTTTTGTTAATACGAATAAAATTATAATCTGCCAATGTCTTGTTTTCATTGAATTTTTAATTGAATATTTCTAAGAGAAATTATTCAGCACTTGATTCTCAAATGAAACTTGAGTCGGATTCAATCAACGAATTTTTGTTAATTTTTCACTCTCATTTAAACGACTATCAATCAAAACTAACTATTTCTCAACTATGTGCCGGAATCATAATACGGCACATAACCTGCTTCTCTTTTTCAAATGAAGGAGCACTAGTATCAACATTCCTAATGCTAGAATGAGCGGTCTACTTCCTAATAAAACTGATAAATTCCTATTACTTGATATTACTATTACCACTCTATCAATCATACTAATTAGTATTGATACATCTTTATTACCAAGTGTTTTCGAAATTTTTAATGAATTATGCCTTGAATCATGTTGTTTATTTTTCAAACTATTTATATAATTATAACACCTATGAATTCTGATAATGACACAAAATTTCTATCAGATGTGCATTGAGTCTATTCAATTTTGTTTATCTGTTGCTGTAACTTTTATATGAATTCATCCATTATTCGACTTGTCAACCTAACACTCAACACAAATGAGTAAAATAGAACTTAGACTTGCTCCAAAAAGTAATCATGCTATCGTGTAAAGCCATTTTATTCGATCATTAAGTGTAGTTCAATGTTTTATTTTTCTATGGTCGAAAGAAACGGTGCAAAAGATTTTAAAAAGATAATAAAATAGTTACAATTTAATATATTATGTATATTGTAATTCTGCGAAACTGGATTTTTTTTTTCTAAGGCATTGTAATCTACTTCATGACTGATAGGAGGGAGTGAACTGTTAAAAGCTTCATGTAATTTAAAGTAAGTATGTTAACAAATAGAACTTTCAGTTTATTTTACGAAACGTGAACCCGAAGCGTATTTTTGGTACTCTCAATGAATCTTATTTTCACCTGTATCTAATAGTTGTTCCAATGATACAAAATAGTCTTCTCAATCATTTGTATTCGTTAAAAAAGCACACTCTTCACGTTTCTCAGACAAGCTCGACGGTGTTATCATCAAAGCAAGTTGTAATTGCCTCTTTTCTTTTTAGAGTAGCAAATGTGGAATGACCAGTAGATCAGGACTAGCTCCCGCGTAGAAGAAAATTTCCAGATCTATAATCGTATTCGATGAACAGGAAATCTTCAGACCCAAGCCTAGATCCGATCGCGTTCGGGTAAAATTCGGAATCTCACCAATGCTGTCTATCTCAGAATAGTCTGAATGTACAAGTTAGATTGGTAGCGACGTCTGTCAGAGTTTGACAGTTCGTACACAGCCGGCTTAAGCTATTAATAATGATCAGTGCCCATAACATATGTAAGTACCTTACTAAATTATTTTTGACTGTACATCTACAGTAATGTTAATCATGCAGCCGATTCAAATGAAATTCATAGGCATTACAGAACATTGAATCATGCATCTATCCCCTGAATTCGAATATTTGCCCTTGTTTGTTTGAGCGAGATGAAAATTGAAATTTATCAAAATGTGATTGCTTTACTTGCGGACAATCGTGTACTCAATATTTGTTTGACGTTCTTCCCGTACGGATTTCATTTCAACCATTCTATTTTTTCAAAGAAAAGAGATGAAAACGATAGTATGTTTTTTTTTTGTTGAAAAAATGGTAATTGATTTTGATCAATGTCTTCATTTATCCTGAAACAATGTCTGCTTTTTTCTCGATGTTTTTGCTGTGAGCATTCAAACATGTATGCTCTTCTAAATCCATTAAAAAAATTTCACTATGTAACATAATAATACATAAAAAAGAAACAAAAACAACAAGCAATTCATTGTTGCAGACGATGAAATCTTATTAGCACCTTACTTTCAGTTTACACAAAAAAACATCAGTTGCCTGTTGGTGAATTCTTTAGAATTGATCTTAATCATTTTTTTTATACTAGCACTCGTCTATAACTTTGAGTTTTGAGTCTAATAAATTCCTTTATTATAATGCCCGCATATCAACCACATTATGCTAATTTAAATCATGTCAGATCAATTCAATCAATGCAGTAAGTAGTTTTCATCTTTCAACAATTGAATTTTTCTGTTTTTCTTTATCAGACGTACTGCATCAAGACCTTCTTCAAATCGGATTTTGATTGCTAAAATACTTCTAGGTACTATGGCAGCATTTATGTTATGTAGTGCAGTTG